AAAGTTTAACCGAATTTAAAGGAATTTTTTTTTTTTTTTTCTTAGGCTTTCTATAGTCAGGAATGACTTGGTTGGGAGCTGAACCTTCTTCCCTCCACACTGTTGTGTATGTCATGAATATAGTGCTTGTTCCAGAAATAAATTCTATAAAGAAAATGACGCATAGTTTGCCGGTCTCTTGCAGCGTTGTCTGCAGATGGGAATTGCTGCTTGAGTGTCAACATTCCATAAAGGCAACTTTTTTTTTTTTTTGTAGTTTTGGATAATAAACATATGGTCAGCTCTTCGGTTATGAATAAACACTGAGTGATCGGTACTGATCACTTGTCCTTGTTTGGGGAAGGGGCTGGTAGATGTGACATTTATCACAACCTTCCCCCCACTTTCCATCCTGAAGGATCCTATTGTATGCCTGCAGCAACTGGTGGAAAGGAGAGAAGGGAAGCTGGCAGCACTGCAGGGGTGGGGGCACATGGGGGGCCAGGACATCAGGGGGAAAATGTACAGAGGGTGGGGGGTCAATTATTGGAACTGATCCCCTGTATAGCTCTCTGCAGCAGCTGAAATCCAGCAGGAGGGAGAGGAGCCAGATTTCAGCTTTTGCAGAGAACCATACAAGGGATTAGTTCCAGTAATTGTTTAGAAAGTTTGGAGACCACTGCTCTACAGTTTCACTAGGAAATATCTGGTGATCCTGCCATCTTCCCTCATTGTTTTCTGGCCATGTTTAGAATGGAAACCGATCCATCCTAGAGTGGTCCATTGGCCATGTTTTAGAATGGAAACAGATCCAACCTAGAGTGGTCCATTGCACCTCTCCTAATTGTGAGTATGGAGATGCCATGCCAGTGCAATGTGCCTGATATGCCCTGTGGCAGAGGTGTTGGCTTTAACACCCATGTTCTGTATGTCAGCATCATGGGTGGTAGAGCTTTGTGTGAAGTGCATGCTCCCAGCACTGTGACCAAGCTGTCCCTCAGATATCAACCTCTAATGATCAGGAGCAGCAGGCTGGATGGCTACAAGCAGAATTCAACTTTCTGTTGAAAGTGTACAGAATGTTTAGTGTTAATTTTGTGATTTTTGCATAATGTCCCACCTGCTTCCCATATCCTCCCATAACTTCCCTTTTCTGCTGGCACTGAGATTGTTTGCGCTTTGTAGAGACCATACAAATGAAACTCCTCAGTCCTGTGCTTGACAATCTGTCTAGGTCACTCTCCTGGGAACATAGTTCAGATCATGTTTTATCAACATTAACATGTTTTGTAGATCTCTAGCTACAGCATAGGGGATAATCTGAGCAAACCTCTAAATATAAAGCCAACGAGAGCAAATATCTGGCATAAAGAACATTTTCACAGGTGGTATTTAGGCTCCATTCACACTTGTACAACTTCAAAGTTGCACAACTTTGGGGTGTAACGTTGGTACCATGCCACTTGGATATGACTTATCCCTCTGCAAAGTTGGACCCACTGTTGCATGTAAAACCTTCAGATATAACTTTCATGCAGCTTTTGAGGGTTGATCCAAAGTAGTGCATGAACTACTTTGAAGTCACTGCAACTTTAAGATGCAACATGGGGTAAGACTTGTCATGCAACTTTGGACAAGTGTGAATGGGGTCTTGGCAGGCCTAAAGGATATGTTCATCTTTTGCAGTCAAAGGGCCCTGAGATATTAACCTGCAGCTTTGTAAAATGTTGGTTTGTCATAACCCCTCCTGGCTGACAAATTTCCATGTCTTGTTGGGTTTGGCCCCTGTAATGCTGGGATTGTTGGTCCACCAGTTTCCAATCTTAGCAACAAGGTAAGACCTTGAGATTGGCAAGTGGGAGTTTTTCAGCCAGGCTTCTGATAGCTGCCCAAAAGGCTTGGGGGTGTGACAGATTAAAAATAATCCTTGTAAAATATCTCCTGGAACCCTTTGACTGCATAGGTTCTTTTCTGGAATGATCGACTTAAACATCTTTGTACATGGCCACATCTCTGGGTGTGTTCCATGCTGGAGATACGGTCTAGCCGTAGGCAATGTACAATCATCGACTTCTGTATCAGGTGGCTACTACAGTAACACATTTCAGGCGTGGTTACCACTTTGCCAAGCTCCATTGTGGATCACATTGAGATGCAGGAGTGTGTGTACAACCTCTTCCAATCTACCACTGATCTGGAGGCTTTGATTATCTGCTGAAGAACCAGTGGCCCTGGTTTCTGCTCTTAGTGGGGCTTTGTACAAAGCTGCTCTAAACTTTGTTTACCTTGGTCAGCTTTCTAGTGCATCCAGGGGATCCCAGTAGATTTTTAAAGGAAGAAAAAATATTTTCTTATACTTTTAGGCCAACCTTGGCTGAGGCAATTCTATGGTGGAACATTAAGGAGATCAAGACTAGGCACAACAAGAAGACATGAGACCTTTGAGCTAATGTATTTATGCAAATAGGTTCTACTGGTCATTCATTATACTCCTGTAAACTGTATCCCAGTAATAAACTAGCTGTGCACCCATGATTCGTACAAAGGGTGGAGCAGTATCTATTGTATGACAGGAAGCAGAATTTGCCTACTCTGCTCTTTTGTAGTTTTGCTTCAGAGACTGAACTGTAGTACCTGATCACGTGTCGACGGCTAGAAAAACACTGCGGGAGTGTCCGAACAAAGGGGGCAAGTATTGTTTTCAGGAATAACATTGTACAAGTTAATGGCTTTCATAGTATTAATCTCCGCAGCAATGTTCACTGTCCAAGGTCAACTAACCTTCAAGCCTGCTTAACGAGTGAAATATTTTCAACATTGCACCAGATCTGTGCATTTTTTTTTTTTTCTTTATAGACTTGAGGATGAGATTTCAAGTATGAGAAGCTGATAAATGTGAGATTATGGCCTTTGATCAGCAGATTGCGGTCTGTGGTTTCTGAACTGGTTGAGCTGAGATGGTGAAAGTGGAAGTAGCTAAAATACAGACACCACTTCTGTGTGTGATCTATGGTATAGCAGATGTTTTGTGAAGGTTGCTGAACCCTAGGCAGTCTTTATATAGACTGATACCTGCCCACTTTGGTCTGTTTGGAATATGGTGGCTGCTACAGCAGATTGTGGTCCTCAAACTGTACTGTAGAACAGGCTTTGGGAGACCTAGTAATTGCATCTAGTGATATTTGCTGCCATAGTGGTTCCTTGTAACCTATGTAGCAAGTCATGTTTGCTTCTGCCAAAGCAAACTGTCTGCTACAGACAGCCAGTATATTTGACTGGTGGAAGTGTGCAGTCGCCAGGTTTGTCGGCAGTCGCCGCACATGGGCATATGGGCATTAAAAATTACCATTGTCACATATGCATTACATGGTCAGCAAAAACTGGAGTTGGATCTGCACATTACATGGTCAGCACAGAATGACCATTTATAATATTATGGTCCAACTGGTCTGGTAAGACCCTTCTGTGCCGTGGTGGTGGATTTTTCCTCTTTGGTGGCACATTGTCTGGCATTAAAGTGGTAAAGCTGCATTGATTACTTTCACCTGTTGAAGACTCTTCTCCAAGAGAGCTCCATTCGACACATTGATCCTTTTATGGACCCTTTGTGGCATTTTATTAAATTATATCACGTATTGCAGCACTTACCTCCTATATGGACACTTTTTTTATGTGGCACTTATTTTAATGTTTAATAATTTGACTCTATAAAGTCACATTAAGTTGCTTAGATTTTTGATTTGTAGCACTGCTTTTTTGTTTAACTAGTATCAGTTATAGTGGCTGCTTATTTACATTAATTTTATTTCTTGGCATGGATTTATTCTTTGGCTATTATATTGGATACCACAGTAGCCCAACTGCAGGGTTGTCTTGCAGGATGCTAAGAGAACCAGTTTTTTAGTTTGGGCCTTCAACTTGGCTCAGTCTGGGAGGGTTGACTGGTGACCACAGGTTTGCATGTTGGGAGGGTGACTGGTGACCAGAGGTCACAAGATCTAGATGCATGAGGATAGCCATGTAGTTAAAGATCAAAAACCTTCATTTTGGTGGTTTGAGGTGGTATTCTTGCCTACAGCAAGATCTTACTTAGTCTGCTGTCATCTGGCGTATGCCATCAAACCATTGGCTAGTCTCTTGCCTTCTCTTGCTGAGTTTGTCCATAATGGTTCCTCCATTCTTGTTCTACTTTTGACAAATGTATCAGACCCATATTTAAAGCTTTCCAAACATAGTACAAGATCCTTTAGATTTACCAACTATGTACTGCAAAGGCCTGCCCAATTGGGTACAGATTATGTGCAGGTGGGTGCTCTTAGGCCTGGTAAATCTAAAGTTTTTAGACTGTAATGCGTATGGTGAGGTTTGTTTATTTCAGATACTTATTAGTACATTCCTATCAGTCAGGTGAGGTTAAAGCAAACTTTTTGTGCAGAGTGAAGATGTGTAAGGGTTTATTGTGGTTACTGGGAAGATTCCCTCAGTTTCTGTTCAAAGGAAATAATCATTTTCTTGTCTGTGAAATGGAAAGCCAACAGAAGTTCTAACCCTTCCCATCTACTCAAAGTCTAATCACTTTGTTGCCATTAAAGACTTCTCCTTTCTTCTCCTGGTGTCCAAACTATAAAGCAGGGATCTCCAAACATTAGCCCTCCAGCTGTTGAACTACATGTCCCATCATGCCTCAGGAAGTCTTGCCTGTGGCTGTCAATCTTTCAATGCCTCATGGAACTTGGTTCTTCAACACCTGCTGGGCCATAGTTTAGAAAACCTGCTATAGACATGTCTGTAACCCTTCACTAGTGAGAGGAAACAGGTTTTCACTGGGGTTAGGATATAAAAACATTTGGCCTTTATGGATTTGGGTAATCTATTGAGGAATAGACCTGTTGTGTCCTCTGGGCCATGAGGTTGTTTTGCTTGCCCACTTGTCCCCAAAGGGGTGACTGTACACAATGATAGGACTGCGTGCAATGTATTGGGGAGTAATTGTGGTACTAAGTGTCTTCTTTCTTTGCAGAATGGCACCTCCTTGGTATCTCCTGCTCTTGGTGGCCTTAGTTGGTTTTCTCCAGTGTCCGCATGGGTCCATGGGTAGTGATTTGCAGAATGAGGTAAGAATAAGTTAGTGTTTTTGGGTTTTTTTTTTTTATTTTTTTTTTTCCCCTTTCCTCTGATGTATTTCTTCATGAGTCATGTCACTTCATTTTTATTCAGGGTTCAACTCATGCCCTTCCCATGATCACTAACATCTTCTGCACAGAGCAGGCAGGCTGTCCTGAAGAATATTCCTGCGTGAAGACTCCTAGGGCCGGATCGGCCTGCTGCCCACTTCCTCAGGTACTGCACTTGCCCTACACTATGGGACTGGGCACATCACAGGAAGCTATTGAATGTGGTTACCAGAGCTAGATCTACAGGGGAGCCAAAGCATCTGATGTCTAGGGGCCCAACTACAACTGTCATGCTTTCCCAGTAAAGGGGACTAGAGCAGTGGCCAAAGCTTGCACCAGCCTACACCTCCACAATGGAGGATGCACATGTAGGTAGCCATTATCTAATGGGATCATACCAGTTCAGACAGTGCAAGTGGGCCTGCTTCTTTGTCCCTACAGAAGTCTGTATTTTTGAAGACATAGGTTGGTCAAAGCTGCTACCTTGCCAAGGTCCCCATTCTGTCCTAATCTCTCTGAATTTTAGTTGGTGCCTGAACTGTATTGTCCTGCCACTTTCCATGTAAGCTTCCCTCTTCAACTCCTTAAGGACTACTTTGTATAAGATCATATGCTGTAACATTGCTCTTTGGATTACATAGCTGATTTTTGTTAGAGGACCTGTCATGACCCACTGTACATTTGTAATATTTACCAGTGCTGTCCCCCCTTACAGCTGATCTGTGCTTTCTAGCAGAATTACAGGCCAATGTCCTGTAAAAGGGAAAGCAAATCTCTCCTGCCTCATGCACCTCCCAATGCAGAAAAATCTCCCCATGAAGTTGTCTTTAGAAGTCAACCCTTCAAGTGCTTCTGATGTCCATCTCTGCACTTGCTAGTGCCTCCTGCCAACCTATCACACTACAGGATACAGTAGTGTTTGGCAGTTGAAACTACAGAATGTGGAGGGGGCTCAGGAGTTGAGACTTTAGAACCCCCCCCCCCCCCCGAAGCTAAAAGTATTCACCCTTCCTTATTCCTGTATAGAATCTTTTTATTGGCTTGTTAAGTTTGCCAACCGTCTCTGGAGGATTGCTCTGGCACTTTCAGTTCTGCACAGGAGGCAGAACCATCTTGTATAGTATTTTATACTAGGCTGTTGTCCACTTTGGTGCCTTTTTGAAAAGGAATGAGCATCTTAGTTCATATAAGTGTATAGATGAATACATGTAAAAATGGTCAGCTAGTTTTTTTTTTTTTTTTTGTTTGGTTTGTAATTCACAGTAGCAGCCATATTCAAAAATTACGTACAGACTACACTCCTTGCTGTGTACCTGGTAGCAGAAAAGGGGTTGATTTACTAAAACTGCAGAGTACAAAATCTTGTGCATCGCTGACTAGAAACCTGTTTGCTTCCAGGTTTTTGTCAAAGCTTAACTCCTTCCTGACGGTCATATGCGGCCTCTCGGCAAGTGGACCGAGAAGCTGCATATGTGTACCTTAAGCAGAACTGTGCCAAGACTGTGCTCCTGGCAGTGAACGGCTCCCAAACTCTACTTGCGATTGGGTGCTTTCCAATCATGTGACAGCCAGTCAGTCACATGATCACAAATCCTGCCCCATCTCCCTGCATCTTAAACTCCTTAAAGGGCCTGGAGGTGCTGGCACCAAAGGGTAAGTGAACAAGCTAAAGTTAAAAGCTGGCTTCCATGCACAGCTGCACCAGATTTTGCACTCTCCAATCTTAGTAAATTTGCCTCAATGTCTTGCCTTTCATAGTCTGGTTTGAAGAGGCTCATCGGTATTACCTAATGTTTGGTAATGTTGGCTCGTGTGCAGTGGTTTAACAGGAAATGACTTCTGTGTATGTCCAATTTAAAGAACTGACCTAAATTCTGTATACTTCTAGTTTCTAATGGCAGGGCTGTTCTATGTAGAGGGTAGATAGGCTTCTGTCCCAGTTTCTGAAGCTGGGAGGGTTGCCATTCAAATTTGCTGATCTTCTTTAACCAATGATTTCTGTCCACACCCTACTACAAAGGGTTAGTAAAGTATGTCATGGAGTCCATTGGGGAAGACTAGAATCTTTTCTCAAAGGGACTTTCACATTGCTATGTGTAGTCTGTTTTTTTTTTTTTTTCCTTCCCCCTTCCCCTTTTTAAAAAATCTAGTTTAACCACTAGAGCAGGGGTAGGTGACCTCTGCACTTCAGCTGTTAAATCACATGAGCTATTGCAAGACTGAAATCCACAGGCATGACTGAGGAGCAGTTTGTAGCTGTGGAGTTTGACTGAATTGCTGAGGTTGCCTCGCCTTGCTGGGAAACAAAATGACAGCATAGGGAGTGCATTGTTGATTCAGACTTTGCACTGTGAGGTACAACCACTGTATAGCTCTTCAGATCAGAAGACAATCTGTCCATACATACATGGAACAAAGGCTTTTATATGATCAAGGTGACAATTTGCATAAAGCTGACTTTAACATGGGTATTATCAGTATTTAATTAGTTTTTTCTTTTTTTCTTTTCTTTTCTTTCCCCCACTCTCAGCTAAGCTTTAACATGTGCAGGTCCTCATTTTCAAATACTTTGTGGTTTGACTCTAAAGGCTTGAGATCAACTGGTAACCTCACTCACTGGATTTTTCTAACTTTGTTTTTGGGACAACTTTACGAGTGTAGTATTTCATTTAAAAATAAAATCATGCTTGCCTAGGTGGATGCAGTATCAGTCTGATACTGCATCTGTCCCCCAACAGCTTTAAGGGTGAGAACTCTGCAATCACATCACTGAGTTCACTGCTGCTGTAAGAGTGGTGACTGTCGGTCACTGCTGGTCAGTCTGCCCTGCTCACTGGACCACTGGGTTGTGAAGGGAGCGGCTGGCTCAGTGGTCAGGTGCTGCTCCAGACTCTGGGGTGGATCCCAACTTCCAAGTCGGGATCTTTCCCCAGTTTGGACTGGATGGGTGATGCCAGCTGATGGCGGGCTTCAGCCTGCTTTCAGCTGAAAACTGATCCAGTGCAGAATGAAGTGCACTCCTGTGATCCACAGAAGTACAGCCAAAATGGTGTTGGATGTACTTCTCCTTTTTAATCAAATAGTAAATTCTATTCATATTGATTGTAAGCCTTCATTTCTTCAGGGAATCTCCTGTCAGGATGGACGTCACTGCTGCCCTTCAGGCACTCATTGTTCTGAAGATGGACATTCCTGCTTGCCAGGTAACGTGTATTTACATGTGTTTTAATTCTTGTGTTAACATGGCTGGACTGCATCTTCTGGATCAACACTGCTTTGATTTACAGCTAGCAATCAGTCTGCAGTAATCTGTCCTGATGGAGTCTCAGAATGCCCAAGTGGATCCACATGCTGCCAGATGGCTGACCAGAGCTGGGGATGCTGCCCACTGGACCAGGTGAGCTGGAGGCAAAGCACATTTCTGCAGTGGAAGAGCGAATGTTCATTTTACATGGCCCACTCCCTGCAATTCAGTGTACCACATCCTACCTTTTTTGTTTTGCCTTTTTCAGTATGCTGATGGGAGGGGGGTGGTATGAAAGATGGGTTGTGCTCATGATGGCCCACTTCCCCCCATTCCTTGGAGTTGAAATGCTTTGAGGCGCTATAAATTGCTTTCATATACAGAATGAGATTTAGGGTTCATTTTTTTTTTTTTTTTAAAACTAAGGTCATTTGTGGTAGTTTTTGCTCTGCAGAAGTGTGTAATTCAAAGCAAGTGGAAAAAGTTGCTAGGTACCTACAATATAACATGGCTGTACAGAAACACTAGACTTGTTTGAGCTACTGAGTGTTGTAAACAAGCCCATTTCTGCAAAGGACAGGCTGAAAAGTAGACTAGGGCACCACTTAATCATAAACACTTACTTAGGGTTCAGTCGTATGTATTCCCATAAATGTAACCGATAAAGTATCTTTAAATGGAGCTATTGCTAGTACATTAGTTACTTGATGTAAACCCCTTACAGGACACTTTGAATGGAAGCAGGGGAAGCACTAGGGGCAAGTTGGTACACCTGCGTCGCAGCCTACTTGATAGGAGGAGAGCAATGACTGCTTGCTTCTGCATTCAGGCTAGGGGAGTGAGGGCAGGAAGGTAGATATTTTGCATTGCCTATATAACTGCATTAGAGGGAGGTCACCAAGCTGGCTCTAGTGGCTACTATGTTGACTATATAGTATACTTATTTATTTTATTACACAGGTACTTGTATAGCTTCAATTTATGTAGCACTTTTTTTTTACACATTGTACATTCACATCAGTCCCTAACCCTCAAGGGGCCTACAATTAAAGGTCCCTAACTCATATTCATATATACACATACTAGGGCCAATTTAGACAGGATCCAATTAACCTACCAGCATGTCTTTGGAGTGTGGGAGGAAAACTGGGTACCCGGAGGAAACCCACGCAAGCACAGGGAGAACATGAAAACTCCAGGCAGGTGGTGCCATAGTTGGGATTTGAGCTATTGACCCTAGTACTGCCAGGTGGAAGTGCTAACAATTTTGCCACTGTATACTGTATCTTTGCTTGCTATTTTTTTTTTAATATAAATTAACTGCTGTATTGGTGTTTGTAGGCTACATGCTGCAGTGATCATGCTCACTGCTGCCCACACAACACCCAGTGTGACCTGGTGCATGACACCTGTATCTCTGGGGACAAGGTGGTTCCCATGTTCAAGAAGGTTCCTGCTAGGATGAAGCTGCAGACTTCTGGTGAGTTGAAGATTTGACCTTTTTGTGTTGGTAGCATGCTCTGAGCAATTGTACGTTTGTGACAAAGGCAGCTTTAAAGCACATCTGTTATTAGATTGTCAGTTCCTATGCTTCCAATGTTAATGGTATAGATTCACTAGCTTCCCTCTTTCAGTAGGTCTCCAGACTTTCTAAACAGGCCAGTTTACTGTCTGTCAGACTTGGGGGACCAGAATGGCCATACGGAGTAGGAATTGTCCTGAGTTAGTGGGTGTAAACCATGCATCTTTACCATTAGGGAAAGGAATAATATCCCATCATTTGTATCAGTGGGGGAAATAGTGTCCCATTGGTGGAAAAAATAGTGACCTGTTGTCAGTCAGTAATAGGAATTATGTCCTATTGGTGCCAGTGGGCAGAAGAGTGCCCAAGGGCTGCATTCAGCCCCCAGGATGTAGTTTGGAGACCACTGCATTATATATGCATCTTTAGTTGAGACTTAAAGCTTCACTGGTTGCATGCATCTTCCATGTGAATCTACTTTACCTGGCATTTAACATTGATCTGGTTCATACTGGGTGTACCAGTTTACAAAAAGCAGTAACAATCTGTGGTTCTAACCATTGGACTATCCAGGAAGATTTCTAGTTTTTGGAAGCATGAAACGGCAGCAGCTGGGGAATGCAGAAGGATGAGGGGCACAATCTGGTTCTTGGAGAGCTGGAGAAAAAAAATCTGGGAGCCTATTGCACATCTTTAACAGATGACAATGTGTGGATACTTCATGTTGACATTTAGCTATGACCCCCTCAACTTGTGAGTCCACCAAAAAGTTTAAGTGATAAAGGCCTTGCAGAGCTTTGGTTTTGTATGGAGTGAGATGGGTCTGGCTCTACTGCTGTGTCCCAGATGGTGATATCCTCCTCACACGGGGTTGCTGGACACCTGTCACCAGAACTAGAAGAAATCTCTGGACATAGCGGCAATACCAAAGTCAAGGGTTTAACACCTTAACTGCTCTCTGTCCTGCAGACAATTGAAGGGAAAGCCTCCCTTAAAGGGAAAATAGTCCTGACCACTTAGAACACATCCCAATCTGTCAAAGCTAGGTTTGGCTGGAACGATTTTAAGCCACATGGTTGTCTTAGATCCTCCATCCAAGCTGCTACTGTGGCCATTACAGGGCAACACCATTGTCCTGATGGGGTTTCTCATTTTGTCACAAAAGGGAGTAGGATCACTCATTTTGTATCAGGAGTGAGACTTGTAGCTTGTCAGCAGTTAGAAGATGAAGAATGCAAAGTAAGCTGTTGGCATGGCCTACCAAATGCCCCGTAGACTCAAAACAATTGTCCTAAACAATTGTTTGCTGGGTGACTCTGCCTTGCTTATATATAAGTTCACTGTAAAACAATTTTTTATTTTTACTACAGTGAAGGTCGTTCGGACGGCGTGCAAAGATGGTTCCTCTTGTCCTGATGGCAGTACATGCTGTGAGCTGGGAAAACATTCATTTGGATGCTGCCCATTAATAGCTGTAAGTACCTGCCCCCGCTGATCTAGACTGGTAAATGATGCACAGCTAAGAACCTCAGATATGCATCTCTGATACTATGGTCATTTCTTGTAGGCCATCTGCTGTGGAGACCACATTCACTGCTGTCCATCAGGGACCACCTGTGACATCGCTCATAAGAAGTGCGTTTCCGCAAACTTTGAGACCCCAATGGTTACAAAGATCCCAGCTCTTCGGGAGGAAGGTAGCCATGGCCTGTTGGCCTCTATTCACTACTTTCTAAATGTTAGGGAAGTCTTTGGCATTTTAAATGCATCTAGCATAAGTGAATCTGTATGCATATCTAGTTTTTGCCATCCTTTACACAGGAAAATTAGCCTTGTATGGGTGAAGTCGCTGTACAAATCCAGCCTCACTAAATTTCAGTGCTATACCCTGGGAACCAGACAAGCAGAGTGACTTAGTGATTCTAAAGGCGTTTTTAAAAAAAAAAAAAAAGCTATACTTACCTGCTATGCAGTGGCTTTGCAGAGCAGCCCAGATCTTCCTCTTCTCGGGTCCTCCTGTTGGGTGCACCCATAGCAAACTGCTTGCTATGGTGGCACCTGCATCTGTGCCCTTTAACACATGGAGCTTCAGCCCAGCCCCCTCTTCTCATTGGCTCACTGGCTCTGACAGCAGTGGGAGCCGATGGCTCCTGCTTCTCTCGGCTAATGAGAAGGGGTCCCGGGATAGCCAAGACTCCAGTGCACATGGCCAGATCAAGAGGGGTGCTTGGGTGGTGAGTATTAGGGGGGCTGGAGGGGAATGCTGCGCTTTTTTTTTTTTTTTTTTTTTTTTTTTTTTTTTTTTTTACCTTCATGCATAGAATGCTTGAAGGTAAAAACCTTGAGCCTTTACAACCACTTTAATCAGTGTTGCTGTCCTTGCATTGTCCTGTCAGACTGGAAGATCAGTGGTCCCAATACTGCTGCAGTATATTAGAGGCTACAGTTTACATCTGCTGCCATATTCACATGCGCTTTGCAAATTTGCCACCCCTTCCCCTTCTCTTCTGCCTTCAGGTACTTTAGTTTGTGGTTTCCTGAGTCCACGCAGTTTTAAGCCTGCACATATTTAGTATTTGCTCAAAGCAACATCGTTAGATTTTAAAAAAATTTGTTCTGTGTGCACTAAAAGTATTTTACTGAATGTATAAACTTGGCTCAAACCACCGTCACCAGTGTATTCTACAAGGTATCTGTTGGGGGTTTGGGGTAACATTCAGTCCTAAAATGTGCATTTTAATATAGCAAAAATGAAAATGGCAGGGGAATAATGCAGACTGATGGGGGTAACAATGGCAGCTACTGTACGAGGATGACATTTTTCTGCTTGGTAAGCCATTGCCCTCAGTAATGTATCCTGTGCAGCATCTGAACAGTCACTGATATGCAAGGTATGTATATGGACGAAGGATGACTAGGAACAAGGGAGGTGAGGCATGACAGCTTGGCGTTTACCTTCATAAGTCGGTATCGGCATCTCCAAAATTCTGAGAAGCAGCAGAGCATAGATGGGGGACTATCATGTAGTGCTTGATACAGCGGAACATGGCAAGCATTCTGGCTGGTGTCCATGGATTACAAGACTATGCCGTACGAATTTTAAGTGTAGCTAGTTTAGTCTGGTTTTGCAGCTTAACATATTAAATACAAACTACTAAAGTACACATCCTATTGGATAGTGCAGAAGGATTCGGACCACTGTCAAGATTGAGGTCTGTTCATGCTGAGGCAAGTGAGCTGTCCTTGTGAGATGGAGGCAGTGATGGTAAATCAATGTTAGGAAAACAAACTCTTGCGCTCTGACCCAACACGGGTAGGTTGATGGAGTCAGGACTTGGAAGTTTCTACCACCAGTGCATATGGGGTTGTGCAGCTCCAAACAAGGCTGAGGAAGCCCGACCAATACTGTGGAGCGCAAACGGAGCGCACCAACCTTGTGCATTACCTCGGTAAGCCAAAAATGTATTACAGAATACTCAAACACTGAAGTATATCATGCATGTCCAAGGGACGAAGGATAAAAGCAGCCTGCGCGAGTCCCATCAGGAGTGGACACTCAGGGAACAGCTTGCGTGTTTCGTAGGAGGAACCTTCATCAAAGCTTTGATGAAGAAGGTTCGTCCTTCGAAATGTTGCAGCTGTTCTCTGAGTGTCCACTCCTCTGATGGGACTCACGCAGGCTGCTTTTATCCCTGGTAAATCAATGTTGCCAGAACAAACTGGACATCTTCCAATGGGGACATCTTTCCAGCAAGGAGGGATTCTGGACCGCAAATAACCTGGCTGGTTATTAACATTCCATGTTCTATCCAAAATGGTCTCTGCTCTTTGCAAATATTAAGATGGGACCATGCAGTTGTAGGTTCTGAGGTCTGGGCTATCAGTGATAGAAGTACTTATCACAGCTCATGGCCTATGCTATCTCTGCATTCTTAGATGGTAAATAATTGCTAAATAAACTTGTTCTAATCTCTTAGCCACAGTGAAATGTGATGATGCAACCACCTGCCCTGGCTCAAGTACTTGCTGCCGTTTGGCCTCTGGAGAATGGGGATGCTGTCCACTTGAGCAGGTTTGTGAGTAGAGTAAAAAAGCTGAACAGTGCTGGAGATGTTGAAAACTTGCCTTCAGATTTCAACTCCTATGTTCTTCGTAGGCTGTGTGCTGCCCTGATAAGATTCATTGCTGTCCCAATGGATATACATGTTCAGGAGGCAGCTGTGAGCAAGGCCAGAACTCCATCCCTTGGATGAAGAAGTTACCAGCTCTGAAGCAACAGGGTAAGCACATAAAGGGGTACCATTGCCCTATTGTAAGGCCTGATGCTGGAGCTTGGACAGCTACCCATCGCATTGTAAATGGGGATGGGTGGGGGGTGTTGGGAACACGATGACCTTCCAAATGGACATGGATGGCAAATAACCTGGCTGGTGCTACGTGCTCTGGTCAAAATGTATCTTTGTTAGAAATAAGGTGGGACAATGCAGTTAGAAGTTCTGATTCTGCAGTTTGGACTTCTGTGCTAAAAGCACTTAAGCACAGCTCATGGCCTAGACATATCTCTGCAGTCTTGGTAGTGGTGATTGCTAAATAACTATTGTGATCTTTTTTAGCCACAGTAAAATGTGACGAAACCGCTACCTGCCCTGGCACAACTACCTGCTGCCGTTTGTCCTCCGGAGAATGGGGATGCTGTCAATTTGAAAAGGTATGAGTAGACAAAAAAGCTGAACAAGACTGGAGATAGAAATATACTTGGCTGTATTACTCAGCTACTGTTTCTCAACTCTTTGTAGGCTGTGTGCTGCTCTGACCAGGTCCACTGCTGTCCCAATGGATATACATGCTTGGTAGATAGCTGTCAACAAGGCCAGAACTCCACCTCTTGGTTAAAGAAGATACCAGCTCTGAAGGAAAGAAGTAAGCCCAAAGGGATGCCATCCCCTGTTTAGGTTCCTGATGCTGTAGCTTGGATAGGAAGGGGTGATCTAGTAGGGAGATGAAGGAGCAGTAAATGTCTAGGCGGTTGCCCTGATGGTATCCATCCATTTTAGAATATAGACTGGTTTGTCATCAGCCATAGGGTAGCTAGTGGTGTAAGTTGCTTATTGGAAAAGGAAGCATTCATATAGGCACTGCCCACTCTCGGGTGGGATGATCAAACCAGTTTTCCTATAGGCACCCCTCACTGCCCACTCTCAGGGGTGGGATGATCAAACCAGGTTTTATAGGCACCCATCACTGTCCACTCTCAGAAAGGGGGGGATGATCAAACCAGGGTTCTTATAGGCACTGCCCACTCTCAGAAAGGGGTGGGATGATCAAACCAGGTTTCTTATAGGCACCCATCACTGCCCATTCTCAGGGGTGGGATGATCAAACCAGGTTTCTTAAAGTGGAACTTGACCCATAACCACTTGATAACAAATGTTTTTAGCAATAAATATTCCACAATTAAGCTTCAAAAATTGGCATGCTATAAACTGCCTCCAGCATTGCTCTTTCTTGCTTGAGGATGCCATTTTCTGAAGCCCAGAGCCCCTGAGCAGCAGTAAATCTTTGGGCTGTCAGCAGATCCACCTCTACAAACGTGGCAGTGTGTGTGAGCATGTGCAGAGCAGGAAGAGTGTATACTGGGTTTTAGATGTAGGCACTTAAAAAGGGACCAGCCTGAAGTGATCTAGCAAGACTAGCTTCTGACTAAAGTTCCACTTTAAATCTATTGCTTGCTCCTCGCCAAGTATTGACGCCTCTACAGTGTATTTGCTAATACAAAATTTTCTTCCTAGGCCTAATCTTTCAACCTAATTTAACAGGTGCTGACATTCCTTGTGATCCAACCACATCCTGCCCTGACAAGACTACCTGCTGCCGCCTTCCTACTGGAGATTGGGGTTGCTGCCCTATTGAAAAGGTATAACCTTGTGTACCTGCAACCCCCACCCCCTATGCAGGATCTCTGCTTTTCTGCGTCTCTTCCTTCTCTGTAATTCAGTTCTCTCCTGCACATAGGCCATCTGCTGCTCTGATCAGTCCCACTGCTGCCCCAGTGGTTGGAGGTGTGGGTGAGCAGGCTACCTGTTCTGTAGGTCCACTTTCTTTTCCATGGCCCAGCAAGACTCTTTCCAGTGCACAGGTCAAGTGTGACAAGTCTCACAGCTGTCCTCAGGGTACCACATGCTGCCATACAGAGGGTGGAGGTTGGGCCTGCTGCCCCCTGGAAGAGGTGAGACACTTCCTTGATGTCATTGGTTTCATACTGTAGGGTAGTGCAGAATCTAGTCTCTTTGGCTAGCAATGAATGCTAAGACGGGTTGCTCTACTAGTAGTAATCAAGCTGAACTCCAGATGGGTATTTGACAGAAAATATGTAACAAAACCTAAAACAAATTGGCGCTGGAGAGAAGGAAGAACCAATTTTTTGGAATTCCAAAATTGTAAGGGAGTAGTCTGTATTATGCAGTCTTTCAATGAGTATAGTGTAATCCACAACATCAGGAGACAGTACCCTTAGAGTAAAGCTGGACTCTGTGCGGAGAAGAGAGGGGCGCCAAACTAAGTGGAGTATTAAAAGGTTATTTTATTGAGCATGGTAACTGAGGTAACTCACTAGATTACAATAGAGAAAAGGCATGTATCTCAGGATGGACGTTGTCCTTCAGAGGTCCCAGAGGCTGGTGGAAAGGGTGGAATATCTAGGAGCCAGGGCTGCTACGAGGGCCTGGTCTCCTGGTTCCACGCTGGTTGCGTCGAGCGGCTGTGATGGAAACCAGGCTGGAACGCAAATGGCGGCTGGGCGGATGTGACATCACCACATGAGTGTAACGCCGCAAGAGGGGGCAGTAACTCGTTTCGAAGAATCGGCTTCTTCATCAGACCATCAGTCTATGGCTGCTCTTTCAGGTCGTTCAGCAGACTGGGTTGTAGTAACTGGGTTTGTTGTGTGAACTGGGTTTGTTGGGTAGGACTGATCTCAGGAACTGGTTCACAAAAATCCAAATTTAGCAGCTTGCCTAGAGTTCAGCTTTAACTAGCATTGTTACAGCTGTCCTGGTTCTGTTCTAGAATGGCTTCTGTAAACCTTTTTTTGCTGGGTTTAATATTACAAGCCCTCAAAGGAGTGGGTAGAGATGCAATAGGACTCTACACAAGCCTTAGATTATGGGAGTATAATTGGGTACCAGATAGAGGACCAGTAAGATCACTTGGGTTGGCCATTTTAAACAGCATGTTTTGGGTCATTTTTTGTATGACTAGACTACATGAATATGCATCAGAGTAGAGAAACTCCCATTGCAACATACAGGAGAACATGGTTCTGCACGATTATCTTCTTCAGGCTTTACTCTTTTGACTTTTTCTTCTATGCTTCTATTAGCCTCAGCACTTTTTTTTTTTTTTTTTTTTGGTGGTGGGTTTTTCCTGAGCCCCTGGTGCTTAACCACTTGACCTCCGGAAGGTTTTACCCCTTCAGGGCAATCTTTGCTATTTTTGCACTGTGCTGCTGTAACTGGCAATTGCTCAGTCATGCAATGCTGTACCCAAATGAAATTTTTATCTTTTGGTGGTATGGTCAGCACTGGGTTTATTTGCCATATAAACAATATTAGAACATCCAATAGAATCAAATTTATTCTGCTACATTTTTTAACCCAAGTCTAGTCTGAATTCTAGGGTCCACAATCTCGGTACTAGTGCCCCACATGACCCTTTACAAAAGTAGACAGTTTGAGGTATTAAAAGGCATGGCAAGTGTGTGGGTTTTTTGGGGAAAAATTATGAAATTAAAATTTTCACTTGCTGTCCCAGCACAGTACAGTGTCATTATCACTGGTGTGGCAGTGACCAGGAATACTGACTGGGTGACAGCCTGTGGTTTTTTTTTTTTTTTTTTTTTTTTCCCCTTTCTGTCGCTGTTCAATGGCACAGTACTGGGAAGAGGTGTAATTGGGGATTTTTCATTTTTTTTTTTTTTTTTTTTTTTTTTTACTGTGATTGCTTATGAGTGATCACTCTTATAAGCAAGATTGTCGTGAATGACTTTCCATTCATGACCATATGCTTACTGTTATGCTGTGATTAGCCCACCGCTATCACATGGTACACGGTGCTGTGATTAGAGTAAGTACCATGTGATGGCTGTGGGCCAATGGAAGAATCACTATAGTAAGCACAGCTGTTATGGATAAGTTGGTGACAATGTGATCACATGATGCCCCAGCCACTCAGTGGCTGGGTACCAAGAACTGAAATCCTGTATCTGGTGGACACTGCAGTCACTGGAGCAGTGCATTGTGTGCCCTAGGGGTGTGCCAGTGGGCATATGCTAGACCACATATATTTGTTGCTGAGCCTGGGGAAGCTGCCTGCCCACAGGAAAAGTACTGTAAGTGGCTGAAGATGAGACAAATCTTGGCCTTTTATCATAAAGGGGTCAGATTGTTTTTTTTTGCCAAGTGCTTTAATTTCTTGTGGTCTGAAGACACTATAGGGTTTAAAGAAACAAATTTGGGAGACTTCACCTATATAGATCTAGTTAAAGTGGAACTTCACACAACGATTTTGAACACTTATGCTGCTAGCCTTAGTAAATAGGAAAGTATATTGCATTTACATTTCAGTGAATTCCTGGTTTCCAGGCCCAGGCAAATGTCATAAATCTCGGTGTTCTCAGTTATGCACACCCTTCTGCCTGCCACACCCTTCTGCCAGCTAAGGGCAGATGGATTCCAGGAAGTAATTGCTACATGAATCACCTGTCCTTACTCCAGATGGCTACAGCCAGAAATGCTAGGGGTATTTTTCAAAGTGTCCCCAGCAAAATAAAACATGGAGACATGGATGGGGGGAGAGTCTTGAATATTGAAAATGAATTGAAGGGAGTTTTTTTTAGTTTGTAATCAGATGCGGTGTAGTTTAGCTTTAGCCAAATACCTTTCTGCTGACTGGTAACAAGGAAAAATATATAGGTTGATGCTCCCTGCTGGGGTTGGTTTAAAACCTGACAGGTTCTAACCCTCAAATTGGCACCATCTATTTTATGGCTTTGATGGAACTGGTGTATCTTGAAGTGCACGAAATGGCTGCTTGGACTAAAGTGTCCAGATCTGAGAACGGATTTGCTATTTCAGTGACCATGGTACTGTTGTCTGATGCTGGCCTATGCTACCTTAGTGAGATGCAAATAGTTTTGTAGCATAGCCGAATCCACAATGGGTTCTCTTTTAAAGGGAAACAAATAATGCTTGTTCTGGCTATGGAAGAGGATGGAGACTAAGGGCACACATTACAAGGAAACCATTCACTTTTTTTTTTTTTTTTAAATTTGCCCCTCAGGACAGACTACATTGACCCAGGTCGTCATATGAATATTGCTCACTGAGCCGCTATGCCCAATTTCTACTCTTCAAATTTAAAGAGAAAAAAAAAAACTTTCATTCTCTAACTTGTCCTACAGTCAGTAATAGAAATCTGTGCAACTGCTTCTGGTCTATAGCAAGCAATTTTATTTTTTTTTTTTCCCCAGTCCTGGGTAGCTTGTGCTACAGTGATGGCACATAGAATACGCTTTGTGTGCTGTGGCAGGAGGCCCCATGAACCTAGACATGTCACTGTATTTTAAAACAAAGGGCAACTACAAAGCAGGTGATGGTGACTGATTGATATATAGATCTATATAGATATTTTTTTTTTTTCTGATCCTGCAGTTGTCTTCCAATTGTGTAGAGCAGTGGTTCTCAACCTGTGGGTCGTGACCCCTTTGGGGGTCGAACAACCCTTTCACAGGGTTGCCCAAGACCATTGGAAAACACATTTCTGCTGTGTAGAGAGCGGCTGCTGTGTAGTAGAGAGCGGCTGCTGTGTAGAGAGCGGCTGCTGTGTAGAGAGCGGCTGCTGTGTAGAGAGCGGCTGCTGTGTAGAGAGCGGCTGCTGTGTAGAGAGCGGCTGCTGTGTAGAGAGCGGCTGCTGTGTAGAGAGCGGCTGCTGTGTAGAGAGCGGCTGCTGTGTAGAGAGCGGCTGCTGTGTAGAGAGCGGCTGCTGTGTAGAGAGCGGCTGCTGTGTAGAGAGCGGCTGCTGTGTAGAGAGCGGCTGCTGTGTAGAGAGCGGCTGCTGTGTAGAGAGCGGCTGCTGTGTAGAGAGCGGCTGCTGTGTAGAGAGCGGCTGCTGTGTAGAGAGCGGCTGCTGTGTAGAGAGCGGCTGCTGTGTAGAGAGCGGCTGCTGTGTAGAGAGCGGCTGCTGTGTAGAGAGCGGCTGCTGTGTAGAGAGCGGCTGCTGTGTAGAGAGCGAGTGTAGAGAGCGCTGCTGTGTAGAGAGCGGCTGCTGTGTAGAGAGCGGCTGCTGTGTAGAGAGCGGCTGCTGTGTAGAGAGCGGCTGCTGTGTAGAGAGCGGCTGCTGTGTAGAGAGCGGCTGCTGTGTAGAGAGCGGCTGCTGTGTAGAGAGCGGCTGCTTCATGAATTATAATTACTGGGTAAATAATTTTTTTTATGGTTGGGGGTCACCACAACATGAGGAACTGTATTAAAGGGTCACGGCATTAGGAAGCTTGAGAACCACTGGTGTAGAGGAACATCCATTGAGTTCTGAAAATGCCACTTGCCTGGCTTTACTATTTGCCTAGATGCATGTGCAGAAAAGGAAAATCTAAATTCTTTTTTTTTTTTGGTCAGGGACTTGGTTTTAAAGCCAGGCACGGCTGCCTTTTTAGGAGCTCAGTAATGGGGTGCCCAGGTTTGCCATGATTTTCTTTAAAAAGCTTAAGTTGGTGGCTTATTTTTAATCTGCTATGCAAATTGCTGCTGGTGGAGTGATTTTTTTTTTTTACTTTTTTTTTTTTTCCCATCCATTCCCAGGCTGTGTGCTGCTCAGACCACTTGCACTGCTGCCCTAGTGGGTACACTTGCGATGTGACGGCTGGAACCTGCAACAAACCACTTGATGAGCCAGTTACCCCAGCTGAGCCAGTTACTCCAGTGACTCCTCTGGACTATGTCTGGTGTAATGCCACACAAGCATGTTATGATGGGCAGACTTGCTGCGTAGGGCCTGGTAGTGTCTGGACATGCTGCCCCTTTCCACAGGTGAGTTCTTGGCTGAACAGGGTAAATAATAAAAGGTGGTTTGGTGACATCTGGCTGTGCTGCCCCTATACCCAGGGTGAGCACTTGACTGTGACCAGGGTGTACAGTGCTCTTAACATCCAGTAGGTTTACATTCATTGTATGACCAGATGGTATTCCTGGGTCACACTGACCTTCATCTCAATACAAGGCCTTCAAGCCACATGTCAGGCCAGAACACCTTAAGGTAGGTTTTAATGCAGGTGGTCTTAGATTTGCCTTCGCAGGAAGTGAGATCTCTTTAATGGTGCTACTTAACATAGTCCTTACAGAGGTTCTAAAAATGTGACGCTCAAGATGTGGTCTGTATCCACTAGTGCACCAAAATGAAAATTCTGGTGCCAAAAATTCAGGGTGCACATGGCTGAAAACCAAAATGGGACAGTTTTAAGAAAAAAGAAAACAAAAAACAAAGCCTTGTTCACATGAAGCCGGGATCCAGAAGTGACATACTGACATCACTCTAGTCCTCCAAGGGCATAGAGATGAGTGTAGGCCATCTTTCCTTCACTGATCTCAATGCCCAGCCGCTTGGATCATTGTAATGGGTTTTAGGTTAGCCTGAGAATGGGGGCGCTTTTTTTTTTTTTTTTTTTTTTTTTTCCTTCTTGCAAGGATACAAATACAGGGGTTAGACAGAATGGGAACCCTACATGATTTGCAGGTGTTAAAGTGTTTGGGATTTGAAAGCGGAAGTGATGTAACATGGTTTTGCTTCCATTGTGATGAGATGCCTAACAGATGGAAAGCCTCATTTTCATTCACTGTGTGCTGCTATATGACGCTCACTAAGCTCTGACATGACTCCATATTCATAGAGGGCAAATTGTTGGAGCCTGTTTGGTGCCTCTGAATTTGCAAATCTGCTGTTGCAAGGAACCATATCAAAGATTATGACAGCCTATACAGTGTCTGGGAAAGTGGTCAGATAAGCATGGTTGACATGATCAACTGGCAAAGGTCATTGTGCAGGATTGTGACCCAGAATAAGAAAACTGCTGTAAAAGTGACTGCTGAGCTCAATGTTGGTCCTCACAAGACTGAGATTGAGCTCTGCAGTCTGTTGCAGAAACTTTCTTATGGGTCGCAATGCTGTGCAAATAACCTCCTTTTTTTTTTTTTTTTTTTTTTTTTTCTTCAGTCAACCTTTTTTTGATACAGTACACAGCAGATTGCCATCTTCCAAGGCACCAGCCAAGCAGGCACCATTTCCCCTCAGTAAGCTGACACAACAGTTACTAGCTGCGCACGCAGTGAATGATAAATGTGAGTCCTGCCTGTTAGCTAGGTGTTAGTGATCAATGTTACATTTCCACTTTTAAATGCCAGACATGTCAATTTCACACCTGAAAATCATGTCGTCGTGGGGTTTTGTGTTTTTTTTTTTTTTTTTTTTTTTTTGTTTTTTCCTACATTTTAGTAGATGGGGAACTTGTTAGTTGCTGTCTGAGCCTCCCTGTCTTGGTGACAACTGTCCCCTTCTGTCTCCAATGGGCTCAGACATAAACTGCTTTAAGTGGGATGAATGTCTGTTCCCTGCTTTTAGGCAGCATCAGAAAGTAATTCAGCCCCATCCAAGCTGTCAAATACCTGCTGTGGCCAGGAAAAAGGAAACTGTTCACATGGGCTGCCAGGAGTGTGGAGCTTGTCCTTTAACAGTGCAGTTGACCAACTAGCAGGGACCTCTGCTTTCTTTTTTTTTTTTTTTTTTTTTTTTTTTTTCTTTCTCTTCCTGGCCATGGTGTGGCTGGTAGTGATTAGTCCTTGGCCATGGTGTGGCTGGTAGTGATTAGTTCTTCTTGGCCGTGGTGTGGCTGGTAGTGATTAGTCTTTCCTGGCCGTGGTGTGGCTGGTAGTGATTAGTCTTTCCTGGCCGTGGTGTGGCTGGTAGTGATTAGTCCTTCTTGGCCATGGTGTGGCTGGTAGTGCTTAGTCCTTCTTGGCCATGGTGTGGCTGGTAATGATTAGTCCTTCCTGGCCATGGTGTGGCTGGTAGTGATTAGTCCTTCCTGGCCGTGGTGTGGCTGGTAGTGCTTAGTCCTTCTTGGCCGTGGTGTGGCTGGTAATGATTAGTCCTTCCTGGCCATGGTGTGGCTGGTAATGATTAGTCCTTCCTGGCCATGGTGTGGCTGGTAGTGATTAGTCTTTCTTGGCCATGGTGTGGCTGGTAGTGATTAGTTCATCTGTCCTGAATGATTCACAATATATCCAAGCCTCTTCCGTTCTGAATTTCAGAACATACCCCTGCATTTGGAGTGACGTGTAACGGTCACCTTGGTCAAATCCTCATGACATTAAGTCTCTGCAAAAGTTTGTCGGTAGGATGGGAGGTGTGGAGCTGTGAGATGTGCAGCTAGAGCATCAAGCTCTAGCAAGCCTAGCAATGCATGGAGATGGAAGCTTAACACCCAAACACATGCAATGTAGTGAGGAATGCAAAGACGTACATTTGCGAAACGAGCTACAAAGGAATGGCCAATGTAAGAGGGCAAATTCTCACGTGTCCTTGGATGGTAAGGAAAAGGGACGTTCTTTCAAGGACAGGCCAACTGATGTAGATTACCTTTCACCTCTTGAAAACCAACTGGAACAATCCTTGAACAGGAGTGGAGGCCTTTGACACGTGTCCAAAACTTAAGGCAGTTGTAACATCTCTGCCCTGGTAATTTGACAACATACACCTTCAGCTATTGGGGATCCACAACAAGGTAGTACCACAAGGGGTCCGTTCAGACACTGATTTAAAACTAAAGTAGCTTGGATAAGCTGCAAAAGCTTTGATTACAGAACATGTCCAGCTGAATCTGACTAACCACTATTAAGCACTTTCTATCAAGCGACTGTTTGCTCTGCAGGTTCACTGGTTGGTGTTACTGACCTGGAACATGGAAACAAGCTCCCTACCTCTAATGACATATTGATACAGTGAAGATGGCTGGTTGCCTTATCTGCTTGGGAACAAGAAAGGGGTTGGGAATGGCAGAACGGGCATTTCTCATGGCTGGTTCTTAACACTTGAGGCTTTCTGGTACAGTGATCTCACTAAGTTGGCTAGACTGACCTCTTGCTTTTTCTTGGCAGGGTGTGTGCTGCCCGGACAGAATCCACTGTTGTCCTTACGGCCATGTTTGTCTGAACTACGGGGCTCAGTGCAGCCGATCTGGGAGTCCACTATGGGACTTGGGATGGTTAAAGAAGAAGCAACCCACTCTGTAAGCACCACCATGGACTTGCACTGATTTCTCCCCAACCCCCCTTTACAGCTGTTGCCAACATTTTACCAATCACAAGGTGGAATTCAAAATCACTGGAATAAAATTTTTATATTAAAACCTATACCTGCGTTGTGACTTGTTACTAGAATTGTCTTGTGCATTGAAAATGGAGACCATAAATCGGGCATCCAGTTTGTCTAAACAGGATCTGGGATGTCTATAAATGTCCAATTCTCAGCATGTCCTAGCAAATCGGGTCTGAAACAGGAGTTTTAACCATTTCCCACAAAAATAAAAAAAAAAATTCCCCTCTGTGTGAAGGAAATCACCCCAACAGAAAAAACTCTCCAAATAGAATTTAGAGTTGCCATATGAACATTAATCCCTATCTGAAAACTATTTTCTGTCACCATGACATTGCTCAGTTGAGATCCTTTCACTCCTGTTAATCCTGGTTTCCAAAGACACTGCCTCAAAGGCCAAGTTCACGTTTCTAAATTCAATCTCCCCCATGTACCAATATACCAATAACCACTTCCTGTCCGGCCGCTGTATATAAATGGCCTGACTGTTGCAGCGCAGGGGCGGGTTGCCGTTCATAAACAGCACCCGCCATTTTGGATTGTGTGCACTCCCTGGGAGCACACAGATTGCTATATGGGACCTCTGTGTGGTCCCAATCATGTGATCACTGATTGGCCAATCAGTGATTACATGGATAGGTGTAAGCAAGATGTCACTTCTGACATTGCTTACTACGTGTGAAATCTGTGAATGATCAGAGATCACATGGTACAAGGCTATTCACAACAGCCTTGTACCATGTGACAAGCTATGACCAATCACCGCTCTCAATTCCTTGATGCAAGAATGCAGACAGAGGAGAAATTGCTTTTACACCCATAAAGGCTGTAAAAGCAATCTGTGTAAGAAAAAAAAATCCCCCCCCCCCCCCCCCCCTCCCACAAGTAGTCACTATGGTGACACTTTACTGCTAGGGTGCCAGTATGTTAAAAAAAATAATGTAAAGGAAATTGAAAATAATTCTTGGCTAAACTAATTTGGGTTAATTTTTTTTTCTCTCCTACAAAAATAACTGAAATTTTGGCCAAGATTTATGAATGTTTTTCTTAACATTTTGCCAGTACTTTTTTTTTTTTCAACATTTTTGGACTTTTCATTTATATAGCAAAAAATAAAAATCCAGTGGTAAAAACATACCACCAAAATAAAGTTGTCTCAAAAAATGCTAAATTCATATGGGTACAGTGTTGCATGACCGCACAATTGTCATTCAAAGCGTGACAGCAATGAAAGCTGGAAATTGGCCTGGGCAGGAAGGGGGTAAGTGTCCGGATAGGAAATGGTTAATGTACCTCTGTTGCATTAAAAGAAGCTTTCTTTGATTTTTTTTTTTTTTTTTTTTTTTTAGGCCCTACCTTGGCCTCTGCTGTTTATGCAAAACATCCCTACTTCCCGGTTGCATCATCCCAAATCTACATACCAGGAACATGGGAAGCAGTCCCACCAGCTGACCTCATTGGCATACACCTTACACCCATCCACTGTTTGCATGGCATCCCTCCAGGCATGCATTTGCCTGGCTTTTTTTTTTTTTTTTCTCCAAGGTTCTGCTTTAAATTTAGAACTTTGAAGGATTACTTATTTGCCCCCTCTTGTCTCGTCTTCTAAAGAGTGGATAAATGTTTCACAAGCTGAGGGAGATAAGGGAGATAACCTCCCCACAAAGTAGCACTGATAGGAGATGGGCCTAATCTGGTGGCTGCTGTAGCTTGATATTGCCTGGCAGATTTGGGGGTGTGATACTGCCATCTAATGGTCATAAAACAGAATGGATTAGGAAATCTGTACAGGGGTTAGATAAAGACCATACTACATGACTTTCAGGTGTGACAGTGACTGTTGCACATTCAACGTGGAAGTCATGTAACATTCTTTTGCTTCCGCTGTGTGATTGGACACCTAGCTAACAGGTGGGAAGTCTCACTTTTTGTCATTCACTGCGGTGCTAGAAATCTGGACTCATGTCAGTTTCCAGAGCTTCAAAGATGGCCGAATGTCTGTGCCACTTGGCCTCGCAAGTTGCCAATTTATTTGCTGTCCTGTATTGAAGGTTAGGACTGCAAACCATTTCCGGGAAAGGTCGTCGCATAAGCAACAGTAGACATGGTCATTTGCCCAAAAACATTGCGCAGGATTGTGACCAGGAATGAGAACTATTGGAAAAGCAACTGCAGAGCTCAATCTGTCTTCACGGGACTGAGATTGAGCTCTGCAGTCACTCCTGCCAGAAAACTGACCCCGGTGCCTGTAATTGCAACTTGCATTTTTTTCAGAAGGGAAAGTCTTCAATGGCAACACCCATGTTTCCTATTAAAAACCACTTCTGGACCAGGCCTTTTCTGGCACTTTTTCTTTCTTTTCTTTAAGCAGGCCTTTTCTGGCACTTTTTTTTTTTTTCTTTTTTCTTCTTTAAGCAAAGGCCTTAGAGAATAAATTGGTGGGTTTTGCAATTTTTTGACACGTGGTATTTGCACAGCAGTTTTTTTTTTCAAACTTTTTTTTTTGGGGGGGGGGGGAGCAACACTTTTTTTTTTTTTTTTTTTTTTTTTTATTTTAATGCCAGAAACACAATCCATAACCCAATTTTGTAAGATATGCCAAACATGGGACACTTTAATATTGTGCCCGCCCCCCCGTGCTACTGCAACAAGCCATGTAAATTTTACTATCCATAGACGACACATTAAAAGCCTTCACAGGGTACCACTTTAGATGTACTCAGGAGTTCTGGTGCTAGCATTACTGCTCATGATCTGATGCTCGTGTTACTTCACATGTGGGGTGATCATTGTTTGCGTGCGTGTGGGATTTTTTTTTTATTTACTTTTTTTTCTTTTCATTGTCGGGTTGAATTTTTTTGCTGTCACAAGAGATGTTAACATCCATTGTGACAGCAATAGGCCTGTGATGGGTACTCTTTATGGAGGGATCTGGGGTCAATGAGACCCCAGATCCCTCTGCCCTTTTTTTAAAAGCATTCAAGCAAACAAAGATCGGTGTGATTGAATAATTTTTTTTTTTTTCATTTTTTAAATGGCGCCGTTTTAGTTCCAGTGGGATGGTAGCGTCCATTAAAGCCACAGGTGGAGGGGATCTAGTTGTCACCTCCTGCTTGTAATGGTGATAAAACAGCTAGTTTGCAGCTCTTTTTGCTATTACAAGAGCCGCCAGTCAGCTCTATTAAAATAAAAAAAATAAAATTAAAGCTACAAGGATGATGCCTATATAACTGCATAAACTCCAATGACTTACAGGTACATTGCTGGAGCTGAAGTGGGGAAAGCAAATGTATGATTGGTCCAACCAGGGTACATGTTTGCTTTAGAGAGTAAACACATCCATTTTTTTTTTTTTTTTCCTCTGGGTAATCTATGTATATTGCAAGAATTTTAAACTATCAGATTCCTACCTTTTTTTGAAGCTCAGATGGGATGGCGTCTCTCACCATGTCCTTGCACACTGATTCTGAATGGGAGGATGTGGTTAATTATAATCACCTGATGCACTTTGTGTTCTAATGAGATTCAGTGTCTGTATTTAACCCTTGGAGTATTTCACCAAAACTGCAGGTTGATTTAGTGCAGATTTTCCAGCAATGCAGGTTGATTTAGTGCAGATTTCCAGCAATTTCAGCCAATCACTCAAACCGGAAAGGTCATTTTTTTTTGAATTGCCACAAATTACAATATGGCTTGTGTAGCAAATGTATACTTTTTTCTTTTCTCTTTTTTTTTTTTTTTTTTTTTTTTTTTTTTTTTTTTTCCTCCCCTGCCTCCGTTCTCAGCAGTACTCATTTAATTCTCAAATTCACTCATGTCAGCATTCATATGCAGGAAGGAAAATAAATATGGGTACTTCTAGGTGTAGAGGAGCATGTGGGTTGCTCTTCTTGCTCACATACAGGGCTGCTGTTAGAAACTGTGGGGCTCCATACAGCCAACTTGACAGGGCCTTCCCAAAAAAGAGAAGCCTTTTTACTATGCTTTATGAAAATTATCAGTACTGATCACTCATTGTGTTCATTCAGGAAAGGAAGGGGCTGGTAAATGACATATTTACAAGACCCTCCCCCCCCCCCCCCCCCCCACTCCATCATGCAGGATTTGTTCCTTTGGGATCCTATTTTCTTGTAGCTGCAGGTGGGAAGGAGGGAAGCCGGCAGCATTGTGGGGGGGGGGGGGGGGGGCACAGAGGAGAGTCTGGGCAGCAGGGAGAAACATATGGTGCACAGGGAGAGTGCCTGGCATGGCATGGGGCAATTACTGGAGATGATCCCCTGTGTGGTTCTCTGCAGCAGCTGAGAGCGAGCGAAGTCAGCTTTTAGCTGCTGCAGAGAGCCATACAGGGGATCGGTTCCAGTAATTGCCCCCCTGCTGTGCTGATCACCCTCCCTGACAATATCTGATCTGGGCCCCATACAGGAGGACTGGGTAAGCTACAAGAGCAAGTTGGAGCATACGTAGGTGTGCGTTCCTCAGCACAGCGGAATGGAGAGAAGGAAAGTGTGTGTGTGTATGTATATAACATATACTGTGTGTGTAATATAAATATATATAAAATTTTCACTGGGAATTTATGTCAAGCTATTGCTTTTGTTCTAAAAAAAAAACTCCATCTCCAGCTTGTTCTCCAATACATCAATAACTAGGATGCCTTTTGGCAGATTTCTACTCACTCGCGACTGACAAATGCTTCCTTGGTAGAACCCCCCCCACTTCCCAGTTGCATCTACAATAATGATCAGTCCAGTGTTGTACGATACTTTGCACTCTAGCATCTCTTTACCTTTTAAAGGCATACTCCTTTTAGGAAAACATTTGTACCTCTATTATAAAAAAAAGTGTATGTATATTTAAACAGGATACATACTTTAAGTGATATCTATGTGTTTTTAGGGTATACCCGGCACATAAAATG